TTCCTAAGTGGCCAGAGCAGTAAGTGTCTTCCGTTAAACTATTTGGCCCTTTGTCCTTGGCTCCTAAAGCAGATCCAGAATAGCCCCAGAACAACAAAATGACAGCCTTGTTTTTTATAACAACCCTCTCTCAACCGCACCTGAGCTTATGTTCATGAGGTGCTTTTTGGAAAGGGAAACAACACCCCCAGCTCTGGGGCGACTGGAGAGGAGAGAGGTTAAGGCTGACTTGATCCTCAGTGCCGCGAATTTAACGAGTCCTTCGTGCTTAATGAAGCCTTCATAACTGCCCAAAAGGACCAAGTCCAGGGGACTTCCAGGAAAGGGGACAGGAGTGTGCCCACACGCAGGAGCAGGCAGACCCCACTCCGTAGGAACTCTTCCAGACCCTCACCGGTGTGTCTGCATTGGCTGTTCATCAGTGCCCCTTAGAATGCCCGCTGCTAAAGCTGGTGCCAACCTGAGCGGATTCTGTGAGTCACCCGCGCCCACTACCCAAGCTCCAGAGAGGCCACGAGAACTCTGCTGCCGGCGAGTCGGCACCAGGACACAGCTGGGGTGGAGCGGCTGCGGGTCTGCCACCGTCCCCGCAGGCGTGCTGGAACTGGCGTGAATCAGAGGTCACCGGCCGGCTCCCACTGCAGGATTGGTGCTTGCTTGACGTAGAGGACACCACACATCTGGCTTCAGAGCGTTTGGTCGGCCTTTGTCCTCAGCATTCTTGCACACGTATTTCCTGAGCCCGAGCAAGACGCGTGTTGGTATGTGAACGCTGAGTCCTTTCATTCTGAAGTCGAAACTCCAGTATGTGGCTCCTCGACCTGTAAAGTGTTTTATTTTTAGTAAATACATTTTTCATTCTGTGACCTCAAAACTCCAAGTCTGAGAGGTTAGTGTTTCAAGAACTCATTTTACAGTGACTTTCGCCTTTGTGCCCATTTTCCTGTCACACACCCCACCTGCCTCTCGCACTTGAGACCCAAGTAGTGACAGCAGCCTGCTTTGCTGTCACAGGTGTGTGTTTTCACAGCCCAAGGCTCCGCCCCTGGGGGTGGTCCAGAAGCCCTTGTTTGTCGAGCGTCCCATGTCCACGCTGCCCCGTCTCTGTGGATGCCTGCTCGTCGCGTCTACTGAAGCCCACAGACACGGTTACAGAGCATGCTGAGATCACCGAGACCCGGAGCCACACAGGGCGGCAAGCAGCCGGGCTTCCCTGGCCTTCGGTTTCCTCGTGCACAGCGCGAGGCCGGCGGTACCAGCTGCAAGAGTGACTGCACGCCTAAGTGCGTGATGCGTACTGAGCACGCGTGTTGGGCCTCCCCTCCCCATTCTGTGAGCACGGGGTGTCGCCCCTTCCCCTCCCGTCGTCCGGCTTCTCTGCGCCCTGCAATGGTGGCTCACACAGTAGCCCTGCAGGACAAGACACATAACCGCCCTCCGCGTAAATACCGGCCACGTCTGCCTCCTGGCCCAGCACTCGGCTGTGAGTGCACGTCCCCTCCCAGTGGCAGGAGTGTTCACCGTTATCTCCAGTGTGCCGTTTGGGGTGAGGCGTCAACTCTGTGATCCGTACCGTGTTAGACTAACCCTCGGGGAGCACGTGAGACTCGGTGGTTATCTACTCCATGAAATAGCCACCCAGAGGTTCCGTGGCATAGACCTGCTAGCAACATGCGACAGGGAAAACCGTGAACGCAGCTGCTGCCTCGGCGTGGCTTGTGCTTTAGGTTTTACGTGTCGGTGCTGCTACGAGGGCGGCTCACCCTCAGACGCGGCCACGCTCGGCTTTCCCTTGCATTCTTCAACATTGTTGTCTTTTGAAAAGCTTGACGCCATTTCTGTGATTCCATGTGCGCAATGGTCCATGTGGTCCTTATCCCAGCCAATTAATTTTATTCTAAAAGTGTAAGAATTAAAGTGATTGCATTTTTTGTTGCCAGAGGGCATGAGCACCCCGTGGGCCGTGGTCGCGCACACGCTTGTCTGCCACGCCTCCACCCAGCAGCGTTGGGGCACTCGTGTGCATGGATCAGTGGTCCGATTTTCACGTCGCCGGGGCCAGGACGTGAGCTGTGGCTGGCTGTGTGGAATCCAGCTTCTTTACGCAGAGTGCGTACCTGCTGTGCTTCAAGGCCTCCCTGGTCCGGGTACCTCAAGTCCTATAATGTAGTGGATCTCTTCTGCAAGGTGGAAGAAAAATAGCAGCTGTCATCAGTCATCTCCCTGTGTTCTGCATTGTCTCCCTCTGACTCTGCACTTCCAGAGGTAGGAGGGCAGAAGTGCCTCCGTCCTCCTCCCTCCTCCTGTGGCTCAGCCACGGGGATGGACAGCCGTGGTGTCTGGCATCCAGGGCCCGTCGCCCTCCGTAGTTCACACCGCCGGCCGCGAGGCGGAGGGTGGGTGCAGGGCAAAGTGCAAGGAGGCCCTGAGGGTGGTGATAAGGAGGCAGCGACGGGACGAAACCCGCGGGGCTAGACGTCCACGTGCTTGTGACCGGGCGGGGACACGGCTCCGGAATGGAGGGAGCTCGGGCCTTCCTTGGTCCCTTTGTGTCCTGTCTTAAAGTGCTCGGTCGTGTGCTGCCTCGGGGCCTGTAGGAAGGGCACTTTAGTCTCGCATACCCGGCTCTGAGGCTGCACCTGCTTCCTCTGCCGCCGCACACGGAGGAGCACCCTGGCTTGGTGCTGTGAGGGCGAAGGGCATGCCTGCCTTACTCGTCCTGCCGGCAGGCCCCGGGTCAGCTCCAGTGCACC